GGGAGGGAGAGAGAGGAGAGACAGAGAGAGAAATATCAACCTGAGAGTGCAACAATGATTGGCTGCCTCCTGCACACTCCCTACCGGGGATGGAGCCCACAACCCAGGCATTCGCTCAGACTGGGAATCGAACCTGCAACCTTTCAGTGCATGGGAAGACGCCCCACCCAGTGAGTTACACCGGCCAGGGCCCTTCCATTGTTTTAATTTCATATTTAAATTTTAATTGCTCTTTATAGAAAGAAACATGAAAACTTGAAAAAATTTTAAAAACTTTAGAGCTCAGAACACAATGGTAACCATAAAGGAAAAATGGGATAATCATGCTAGTAATTCAACAGAATTGCAAAGATCGAAATATATCTCATAAAAATCAGAAACAGAGTTTGGAAACATCAAGAAAATGAATTCATTAACTATAGCATATGGGCATCATATGGAAAGCACATATACAGGGTGGGGCAAACGGTGGTTTAAGCTGTGAGCACCCAAAACAGAGTTTTTTCTTGTATTATTATTTATTAATTATTGGATTGTTTTCCATACAAACAACTGTAAACCCACTTGTGTTCCACCCGGCACATACACCAAAGATAGTACATATCTTATGATGTACATCACATGGTGTTTGCTTAGATCTGAAATACACTGAATTTATTACAAAACTCAGAACATGAGACACTTGGAATTTATCAATTAAATTAATTTCAGTAAAGAAACCAAAAACCAAGATTTTAAAATCTGCAATTATCAAACAAAAGTACTTTAAAACTTTTCCCAGCATCAAGAGATTGAAATTCCTTCCTTTGAATCCATTAAAGAAAATCTATCCCATATTGTGATTTTTAAAAAAAGAGATGAAGGAATCTGCAGATTAAGGGAAATAAGGGAAGTCCAAGCTGGTATTAAGTATGAGCCTTATTAATTTAAGCTCTAAAAATAATTTTAAGAATTGCATAACAGGACCAACTCTACACAAGACAGACACTTGTATTACACTCTCTAGCGGTTACAAATACACACCAAAAAGAAATTTAAAAAATAAAAGACAAAAAAACATATTCTAAAGGACTAACCAAAGCAGCAAGCTGTGAAAATGACAGAAGGGACAGAAAGGTTTACAGACAGACAGGCTTTTTCTTTTTCTGCTTTTCCTTTGCTTCTCTCTCCCGCCTGGCAAGTCGCCTCTTAAATTCTTCAGGCATTTTCTCATAACAGTGTCTGCAGACTGGCTTTAGATCAATTTCAACAAACTTATCCCTTTGAGCAGGACAAAGAAGGAATAGAAGAAAGAACAGGGAACAATTAAAGGAAGAACTTTTACTTTCAGAAGGCCTGAGTAGAAAGAAGAAAAAACTGTTTTTAAAAAAGTTAGCCGAAAGTTTTCAGTGTTAGGATTCGCGCTGGACCAAAACGTATACTTACTTGAGTGTTAACTTGGTGTTGCAGGTAGAACAAGCAAAACAGTTCACGCACCAGGCCTTATTCAGGGCGGAGACCACTGGAGGAAGAGGAAGGACACCCGGTGACATACTGGTATGGGATGTGGGGGAGCCGACATTCCCAAATCTAAAGCAGAATTAAGGTTATCTCCAAGACATTTGGAAAAGGTTCTCAAGAGGTTTGCTTGCAAAAGAATCACGCAGCTAAAAACTTTAGTGTCATTAATTAATGTTTATCAAATCAACCAATTTTATTCATTTATTTTTTCACATTTATTTTTTCCACATACAAACCGAGCAATGTATGTCTTCCATGCCTGTAGGCTCCATCGCAGGAAAGATCAGTACTGCCCTTGTCAACCTTTGTTTTTTAAAATATACACAGAAATCTACTTTCATCCTTTCTGCGCTGAAAACTTTAAGTATTACTGCTCTGTGTCTCTTGAAAATGCTTGACTGAGCTCCATTTATTAGGAAACCATTCACTGAAGGCATTAATTCAGGAAACTGCACTGTCAACCTTTATTTACAGTCAAATACTTTTTCTTTCCTTTGAGTATCCTCTGAGGCATATACAGTTAATGGTACAGACACCAAAGCTTCACACCAAAGCTCAGGTCCTCTCACTCCTGTGGACAATGCAGTGAATACATAACATGCGTTACATCACTCACACGAGTTTTTTTGGCACAGTGCTCGCCTGCCAGCACGCTTTCTACTCCTTGCTGTCCCTACTGCCACTAGTCCAACAAAGAAATATGGAATAGAGAAGTAATTAAAGAAAAAATTCCAGACATTAACATATTCACCTACAGCAATGTTTCTTCCAAAGCTGAGAGCTTCCACTGACAGCTTCTTTCATCTGCTAACCATTCATTATAGGAGGAAATTTTATTTTCAAGGGCACTAAGATTGCTTTTTTTAAAAAACATATATCTTTATTGGTTTCAGAGAGAGGAAGGGAGAGGGAGAGAGAGTTGAAACATCAATGATGAGAGTCGTTGATCGGCTGCCTCCTGCACGCCCCCGACGGGATCGAGCCCGCAACCCAGGCATGTGCCCTGACCGGGAATCGAACCAGGATCTCCTGGATCCTAGATGGATGCTCAACCGCTGAGCCACACCCAGCGAGGCTAAGATTGCTTTCTTGATCTAATCCTTTGGCAAACTGCGTATGTGCATTATTTCAGCAAGTATTTCCCAAGTTAGGTTCTCTGCTGAGAACTACAAAGCATGCTGAAAACAGGAATGCTTAAAATTCTGGTAGAAGTTTCTGGCAGAACTGTGCTGGCGACCTTACCCAACACAGCTGCTCTCTGTTCCAGTCCATCAGCTGTGCCTAATTACCCCAGTACAAGGGTGGTAAGTCCTAGAAATGTCTACAGGTAACTGCCAGGTTAGCATCTGCAAGGTTAAAGTGACTCTGCCTAGCTACCATGGCAGAGTAAACTGTTCTTAATAAACACCGCTCTACAGCTCCCAAGCCATGTAGTTCTAGGGAAAGGAAAGAGAAATAGGTTTCCAGGTTGGCCATAAATGCTTTCTACACTTCCTAGGATAACAACCCTGTAGCATAGGCCTAAAATATTATCATAAATGAGTAACAAGTCCAGCTCATGGGCCATTATCATCTCACTGCTATAAATTACTTGGGAAATATGCCAAAGAAAGAGAAAAAGTAACATAACAATCACATTCCAGCCCAGCCAGGCATGGCTCAGCGGCTGAGCGTCAACCTAGGATCCAGGTGATCGGGGTTCGATTCCCGGTCGGCACGTGCCCGGGTTGCAGGCTCGATCCCGTCGGGGGCGTGCAGGAGGCAGCCGATCAATGTCTTTCATCACTGATGTTTCTATCTCTTTCTCTCCCTCTCCTTTCCTCTCTCTGAAATCAATAAAGATATATTTTAAAAAAACACAAAAAATAAAAAAAATAATCACATTCCAAACTATAGCAATCAGCTTCTTTCAATGCTCATATTTCTCAAGTGTTTTTGTGTCAAAATGGTGCCATAAAAAATTCCTACGCTTACTTACCATCACCTTCTATAACACGGTTGCAGTGGAAGCAAACATCACCAAAGAGCTGAAAAATGAAAAAGTGATAGAAATTCAAGATGTGTTAGAACTGTTTTAAAACACCAAACATTTAATATAATTTCAGTTCTTTCTACCACTTAAAACAAATAGCTGGCTACCTAAATCCAGATTTTACCATTACTAGAGAAAATGAGTAGCAGTTCATTGACTAATTTCTACTTGTTATGATGAAAATTTACTTTTCATCGCTATCAAAACAAAACAAAACAAAATCTCTGGAGATGTTCCATATTTAAGAAAGCTAAACAACATGACAACCCAAGACTGGGTCCAGTACTGAAGTGGGAAAAAAATTTCCAAGAGGTTTCTTTGTAACTAAAATATTGATAAGCTTACATTCATAAAAGTATATCTAATATCCAATGAGTACAAACAATACCTGGTTATAGTGGGTTTCACAATATGCCAGGCCCTTCCTTTCATAATGGCGATGTCCAAGAAATGGTTTTTCACACTTGGCACAAACAAAATGCTGAAAAAAATTGTTACAGGTCATTTTTGAATTGCCATATTTTACTTATTAAATGAAGTAAAACTCCAAGGTCAACCTATCCTTAGAGAAGATTCATGCAGGTTTGAGGCAGCAGTTTCATTTGGCCATAGGTTTTCCTGTAGCACTTTCAGTCTTAATTCCGGTGTCTCTGACAAGTTACTGTAAGACCCAGCCTGTTCAAACACCACACAGTGAGAAAGCAGGTGAACATCTGAGCAGCATCTGTAAGCAAGGGCCGCTGCTGGAGATGGACCAGGACACTTCTTGCCTCAAGAAGATTTATTATTATCATTATTATTATTATTATTTGAGAGAGAGAAGAAGGGAGGAAGAGAGAGAGAGAAACATCAATGTGAGAGTGGAACATCAACTGGCTGCCTTCTGAACAGCCCCACTGGGGATCGAGCCCAGAACTCAGACATGTGCCCTGACCAGGAATGGAAGCAGAGACCTCTTGGTGCACGGGACCACACCCAACCCATTCAGCCACACCAGCCAGGGCTAGGAGATTTAAGAACACAAGAGCACACCCTGTATCATTACCATGAGCTCACAGAAGCAGTGTATATTCTACATTCCTAACTTTCTACAAGATCAGTTGTCTTTAACGTGTTCATATATAATTTTTTAAAACTCCTAATTGTGCCCGTGTCACGCATGTAGAACTTACCTCCACGTGCCACTGCTTGCCCATGGCATTTACCACACGTCCTTCAATGGGCCGCCTACAAGCGCCACAGATGGGGACCCCCATTTTATCATGGCACGGCAAGCAATACAGTTCTCCTTTCAGCTCCCGGGCATCAGCAGTCAGCTCCTTCCTGTCCAGGAGAAAGATACCCAACTGAATGATACTATCAAGGGGGAAAACAGGCAACAATGTGGCTAACACTTAAAAAAAAAAAAAAAAAGTTTTAATTGATTTCAGAGAGGAAAGGAGAGGTAGAGAGAGAGAGAAACATCGATGAGAGAGTCATTGATCGGCTGCCTCCTGCACGCCCCCCACTGGGGGTCGAGCCCGCACCCCGGGCATGTNNCTCAATCTCCTGGCTCATGGGCGGACGCTTAACCACTGTAACAATTCCTGTGACTTCTTTTCCTTCCTGATGATCAGAGTAACCTGAATTAATAGGTTTGAATATGTTCCAGAATCCTATCAAAAGATCAGTATCATTCAACAACGATAAAAATGTTCCAGGAAGTCAGATACATACGATCACACTGGTCATTATCGTTTCTTTGTCTATTATCACATTATAGTCCATTTGTTTTCCTTAAAAAGCTAGAGAATTGTAACAATACTGAGGACAGACTCAGTGACATTATCTTCCCAAAATAATTGAGGAATTTGGAGACTAGTTCCATTTAATAATATTTAAACTGTTATAAGCTTTTAAGAATAGTTATAGGTTAATAGGAAATAAACAAATGAAACGACCAGAATTTTCTGTTTCCAAATGCTTAATTAAGTGTGCTATTATTTGCAGTCTCCTGTGTCAATAAACATGCCAGAGATGGCCCCAATTAGCCAAATGGATGTGTCTGAGTTTCAACTGTTTAAATAATTCTTTAAAAGTGCTAACAAAAAATGAGAAATATTCCACCAGAGGGAGAACAGGCAAGAAAAGCAGAAAAGGCACAAAGTGATAATCACAAAAGGTGAGGCAGCTGTTCCTACGCCAGAGCCTGCTTCCTTGACCGTTAGCCTACTTGTCTGCCCCGCCATAATCAGCATGCAAGTTCATATTCATTATAGCAAAGTCTCTTTTGCCTTTAAATTTTTATACTAGACAAGAAATTCAGAAAAATCATAGCCTAACAAATTATCATGTATTTGAAGAAAAAAAATTCCCTGTAGATAGAATTTAAGATATTTTGAGATAAAACCCTAATTATTACAACTGTAAAAGTTATATATGTACAAAAATAAGACATTGTAAAGTTTTTTCTTTGTCTTTTAATCCTTTACTGTAAAACAGTTTGGGGGACGATTGGGGATATTTTAATATGGTCTGATTACTTCAAGGTACGTACATGCACACACGTGCACACACGCACATACACATGTGCTGCACACACAACTTAATGTGGCAAAATGTTAACTGATGAAACTAAATGAAAGGCATGTAGATATTCTTTATATTATTCTCTTGACTCTTGTATAGGTTAAACATTTTCCAGATTAAAAGTTGGAGAAAAATAAATTTGGTTTGCCAGCGTAACAGAAATACAGATAAATGTGATCTTTTATTTCCACTATTATTTAATAACAAAGAAATCACAATACCCGCAGTTGGCACAGTTGAAGTGGTCTGGATGGTAAGGGTCGTTCTTGAATATCAGAGGCTGTTCATCAATGATGGCGTGGCACTTCTGGCAGATGTATTTTCCAAGGCCCCTGGCTTTCTCACGATTATGACAGGGGCGACACAGATGTCTAAACAGAGCCAAAACTTTTTTAGAAACTCAAATTTAAAATCTAAGGTTCTTCCTAATAATTAAAAAGTATGCTTCCCACATCTCTCAAAAGAAATTAAAGAAACCATTTCTTTAGAAACCACTGCTGACTTAGCATACTCAAAGCACTACGTTTTATATGAAAAATTATTTATTCCAATCCAAATAATCTGGTATTTTAGAAACTCCATGCTAAGTACCCGTCCCATTTTTTCAGCCCAGGAACACATGTGGCAGCTGAGCACTGCTGCCCAGAAATTCCAGGGCCCTCTCCCAACAGGCACCAGTCTGAATCCCTGTGCCTTAGCCTCGGGTCCTGAAGCACCGTCTTCCATCCCATGAGAAAATATGCGTGACGTGTAGCAGTCACTTTATCCACCCACACGTGACAGGGATAAAAACCTCCTACCTCCCAGCATTCTTGACAAACCCGATATCTGCCAGGACTTCCTGGCAGAGGTCACAGCGGAAGCACTCGGGGTGCCAGCTGTTATTCATGGCTTTGATGACTCGGCCGATGATGAATTCACCTGTGCGAAAGGAACACACACAGTCTACCCAGTGTGGCACTTTAGTGCTAAAAGCAGTAAAAGGAAAAAAACAGAAGGAAAAAAAATACACTTCAGCCTTTCTCCACAAATAGGGACTTTTTATGTCTGTGTCTACCACAATAAGCATTGTATCAGAAAAATGTTTTCTATTTCATCCGAGTCCTTGGTTTTGATTCTGTAGCTGTATTTTCGGGCTGTCTTATCACATCTCTGAATCTGCCTGTCATTTCTGGTCACACAGCACATTTTCTTGTAACCCATGCTTAACTCCTTCTTTCATTAGGCCCTTAATGAATGACGACACTCTCCCCCAATCTCTGGAGGCCCCTAGCAGAGCTGTTCGCAACCAGGGAAGGGGCGGAGGCCAAGCAAGCCCAGCACCTGTGCAACGCCGGCAACCTCTAAGCACCTCGCTGACAGCCGTCTCCCTCCTGGCAAACCCCAAAGCAAGCAGGGGATCGGCCATTCCAAAAACCATCTAACAGAACCCTAGTTAGTCCCGAGAAAACTTTACACGGCATGTCCTTAAAAATCAGTTCTCTCCGGGTTTTCATACTCTTCCAGTTTGTCATACATTAAAAATAGGCAAGAGGACTGGTAAAGTACCGAAATGCTATTTATAATGAGCATGAAAAACCACTTTTATCTCTGACACTTTGTTTTAAATAACTTAAGTAACTTGAAACTTACTTTTTATTTTACATTCAGCAGTAAAACTTACCACACTGATGACAGCAGGGCGCAAAGAGCATCTGAAAATCATGCTCACAGTACTTCCTTCCTTCAAACTGAAATAGAAAGCGCTTGTAAATACGGACGTAATTCCTCTAGGGGACAACAGGAAAGATGTTTTTGAACGAAAGCTCTGCCCTAAGAATTTATAATTCTACTAAGATTTTTAAGAGCAAAATACTTTTGTGCCTTCCATACGTCTACACGTGGGCGCAGGGAAGATACAAGGGACAGGATGAGCCAAGAAGTAATACTGCGCCCTCAGAATACAGTGGCCTTGCCTCTGACTAGTCCTCTGGCTCATACTCCACCTTCAAGAGTCTGATGAAACTACAGACCCCACTTCCCAGAAAATATGCACATACATACAAACCCCTTCCCACGGTTTAAGGTTGATATCTAAAATATTTTACTCTAGGCTTAAATATTTACAAAGGGTAAACATTCTAGCATATCTTTTTTTTTTTTTTTACATATTTTTATTGATTTCCGAGAGAGGGAGAGGGAGATCGAAACATCAATGATGAGAGTCATTGACAGGCCGCCTCCTACACGCCCCTCACTGGAGATCGAGCCCGCAACCCGGGCCTGTGCCCTGACCGGGAATCAAACCTCGATCTCCTGGATCCTAGGTCGATGCTCAACCGCTGAACCACGGTGGCTGGGCTAGCATATTTTAAATTTGAACATTTTAAAATGGAACCAAAACCCTTTAAAAAATTAAACATTCTTTTTTAACAGTTGAAAATTTTACATCCTTCATTTCTCTCCTTGAACTGTTTCCATTTAATTTCCCCCAAAGTTTTATCCTAGCATATTTTTATGCTAATGTCTTTAAATGATCACTCTACCATACTTTTCACTGCAATTAAAATGTTTTACTTTCTGAATCCATAAGGCTCTTAAAGTTAACATTCTTTTCTTCTGGATTAAGTTATCATTATAATAATGATTAGTAAAATGTCTAAGTTACAAACATTAAATTTTAGTTTTACTGCTTATTTACTTGGAGAGCGTATCTCAGTGAGATGAGGAGGGCTACTCTTTCCCCTCACAATTATCTCGTGCACCCGTCGGTAAGCATGACTTACCACTGTAAGAGCCATTAATTCTAGATTAATTTTCTATTTTGGGGGTTGCTTTTATCCTTTCCACATAAAAAAGTTGTAGGAACTATATGTCTTCCTCTGAATCTTTAAGCTCCTTACAAGTTATGCTAAAAATCACATACTCTTTGATTATCAAAATCCATTTTTTTGCCCAACAGGTGTGGCTCAGCAGTTGAGTGTAGGCCTAGGACCCAGGAGATTGGGGTTCGATTCCCAGTCGGGGCACATGCCTGGGTTGTGGGCTGGATCCCCAGCAGGGGGCGTGCAGGAGGTGTGCAGGAGGTGGCCAATCAATGACAACTCTCCCATCACTGATGTTTCTCTCTCCCTCTCTTCCTCCCTTCCTCTCTCTGAAATCAACATATTTTTTTAAATCCACTTTTTCCTCAATTATGAAAATTATCTGCAGATTTAGCTCAACTTACTCAACATATCCACAATAATTGGCAAACCAGCCAAAGCAGATTTATTTTGTGCCAGAAAGTCTCACTTAATTTTAAAATTCAAATGCGTAAACTCTAGTACATTTAATGAACCTATTTCTTAAAGTTACAAGCAGAAGATAACAAATCCACAAGCTATTATTACTCAACACTCTGTCATCATATAATACATTGCAATGTGTAGCCCAAATAAGTTATTTATGAAGTGAGCTGTTCCCTTAATGTATATTATGTACATGTAAAGAAATCTGATGTTTTACCCGTTTGTAGTCATTTTAAAAAGAAATCAAGTATAGAAAACTCAGAAATAACCTCATTAATTTAGGTAAAGAATGGTTTCTGAACTATTTGTCTCAACTGGCCACTTCAGTTTAATAGTGGAAGACTGGTTGATGATTACAACACATCATAAAATCTTCAGAAGTGTTTTGGTTTTTTTAATATGTCTTTATTTATTTCAGAGAGAGGAAGGGAGTGGAAGATAGAAACATCAATGATGAGAGAGTCTGACTGGCTGCCTCCTGCACACCCCCGACTGGGGATCAAGCCCACAACGTGGGCATGTGCCCTGACCAGGAATCAAACCACAATCACCTGGATCATAGGTAGATGCTCAACTGCTGAGCCATGCTGGCTGGGCTGGAGAATGTTTTGTGAACCGTTTTTTTTCTCCGTGTGTGGCAGTTTTAAGTTACTAGTTTTTAAAATCAATACTTTTTGATAAAGACTAAGTCCTAAATGGAAAACTGTCATGACCACTCTCCACATCTCCAAATCTACCATATATCCGAGTACAGAACATCCAACACAGTTCCTAAAGCCAAGCTTTATCCTTAACAAGAAAATACACGAGGCAAGGAAAGCCTGGAAAGTCTTATGGGTTGAAGGACCCTGGACTAATCCCAACTAGTGTCTTGGAATACATCATTACAGTAAGATTTGAGATCCCATCTTTTGTGAAGTGGGAGAATTGCTACTGTGAATACAAATACATTACCAGGCAAGTCAATATTAGGAAGAAAAATCCAGAAATTTAGTTCCTTGAAACCATCCATATTGCAAACCCGCTACATACACTGGGGTGTGCTTACCCCAGCGTGAGGACAACTCCAAGAGCAGAACCTTCTCTATAACAAGCTGCCTCTTTTTTACAGTGTGTAGAAATGATCCGACAGTTATGGCCAGAAGGTGATCCAAAGTAAAACTATAGGATGTAAAAGTGAAGAAAATTCAGAAATTATAAATTTTGGAGTTCTATGAAGACTCTCTTTGGGAAGAGGAAACAATTCTGATGCTTTAAAGCAAGCTCGGAATTAGAAACTTAGCTAAGGGTCTCATTTCAAGTAAGTGCAAAAGTTGAAAATCTTCAACATTTGTACTGGTTTGTCATAAATTATTTTGAAGTGAGTGGGTCGACAGATAAGCACCTCATTTTGTTAGCGAGTTTCCTCTCAGCCAGCCAGTCTTTCCTTCTCAGGTTTCAGCTTTCCTGAGTCATCATGATTCAGTATAAGAGGAAATGAGTGAAGAAATCTCTTGTAAAACATCTTTCCACTCAATCTCTCATCATAAATTGGTCTTTCCTGTTATGTATTTTGTGATAGGGAAAAAAGGGATACATCTGGGATATTCAAACTAAGGAGAAAGAAAGGAAACTGAAGTATAAGCCAGGAACCCAGCCCCTCAATCTGTATACTATGCTAAGCTGAAAGGCTGCACGCCAAGTCCCTAGCCCTGTGTGGTATAATAGTTCTGGAAGCATATCCCTCTGTATTGGTTCAATTTCACTTCCAAAAGCATTTTCTTGGGGGGAAATTTAAGATAATCCTTTTACTGGAGACAGTCCCAGGTGCCATAAAATTAGATTTAGGAACCACTATGTGGCTATACATAGTGTTAGGGTCTCTGGGTTGAATGGGAATTACCCCCTGGAAACAGCATTTAATCAGCCTTTTCATGCCACCAACAATTTGGCCACTTAAATACTTCATGTGTATTGGAGATGCTGATAACTGATGTAAACCAGCACTGATGGACCCAAATTTCCCTCTGAAGACAACTATGATACCAAATCCAAGATCACTAATCATATATAACTCACACTTATACAACCTCTCTCAATTTTCCTGGTCTGAAAATGAGGACAAGAACCATAAAAAGCTGTCATCAAGTTCATCCAAAATTGTGCTCACTCTGAAAATTGTGCTCACTCCGGGAACTAGGACACAATGTAGTCTATGCAGCACGCCATAGCATCTGCAGAATGACTCCGCAAAGCAGCAGGGACGGCGCACACGGGAGAGCGTGGCCTGTCGATTACATCACATACATTCCTGCCCTGGCTGGCGTGGCGCAGTTGGCTGGGCGCTGTTCCACGCACCACGTTCCACTCCTGGTCCGGGCACATGCCCGGGCTGCCGGCTTGATCCCCAGTGTGGGGTGTGCTGGAGGCAGCAATCGATGTTTCTCTCTCTTCCTCTCCCTTCTCTCTCTTTAAAAAGCAATAAAAAATCTTGAAAATATATATGTAATTCCTGGGAAACTACTTCAGTCTCAGTGAGAGTCAGGGCATCCTAATGAAGGAAAACAAACCTTGTGAAAACAAGCAGGCCTGAGATGAAACCCTAATGTGACTACTCACCCACCAGTTAACCATGTGCAAGGTCCCTGAGACTCACAGCCACATGTAAACTGTGAATAAAAATGCCTAATTTGCCTGACTGGTGTGGCTCAGTGCTTGAGTGTCGACCTATGAACCAAGAGGTCACCAGTTCGACTCCTGATCAGGGCACATGCCCCAGCTGCGGGCTCCAGCCCCAGAAGGCGACGTGCAGGAGGCAGCTGATTGATGTCTCTCTCTCATAGATGTTTCCATCTCCCTCCCCCTCTCTCTAAAATCAATTTCTAAAATGTATTTTTAAAAAAAGCCTAATTTGCAGGGTTCATGTGAGAATCAAAAGAAAGAAAAAGAACAACAGTTTATAAAACACCCAGTACAGTGCCTGGCTCATAACAGCGTTTCAAAAAGCGCTTCATTCCAGGCAAGAGACTCACACAAAGCTGGGAAGCAAGCACCTCGACTCCCGGTGGTGACAGTGGTGGAAAACAACGCCTGCTGTTGTTTTAATATGTTCGTGTTGTTTTTATTATTACCCTGACCACTACTTTCTGATACAGATAAACGTAAAAGAATAATTATTATAATCATTACCACTTAAAATTTATTTAAAATTAAAATGCAGAAGCAGGATATCTGAATAGAGAGAAATAAATTTCAGTTTAGGGAAACAGTTCTAATTACTCTACAGAAAATATATCTTGCCTTCTGCTAAATGAGTGATGAACTATCCAAGAATGGGTATATTTATCTTTCCTGGTGCCAATTTAAACAGGAAAATATAGGCTCTCTTTAGGGTCTCTCTTAAGTGAATTCTTTCTAGAAGTGTTTTCTAATTAAATTTATGGCACAAGAATTAACTGACTGCAGTCAAATTGTTAAGAGACAGAACTATACAAAGGTTTTTGTTTTGTGTAGAGGATTGCCTAAACAACTTGGGGAACGTGCCCATTTGTAACTGACTTATTACCATAGTGAACTTTACTACCTACTGGAAGGGATGTCCTCATTGTTTGGTGTACTGGTTCTCAACTGAGGGCGATTTTGCTCCCCAAGGGGTATTGAGCAATGAATGAAGATATTTTTGGTTGTAACAACTGGGGATCTAATGGGTAGAGACTAGGATGCTACTAAACATCCTACAATGTACAGGACAGCCCCCACAATCAAGAATTACCCAGTTCAAAATGTCAATAGTGTTGAGGGTGAGGAATCCTGGTTTACTGCGTGGAATCATTACTTAGCTGAAGCAGTTCCCACTGGGAAGCAGAGGAAGGGAGTGGGCTGATTTACTGGATACTGTACTTGCTACCTTGGTTCAAACTCATAACCCCACGAGACACATGTGATTATCCTCTTGTTACAGAAAACTGAAATTCAGAAAGATCAAATAACTTGCACCAAAACCAGAGGAAATGGACAAGGCTGTCAGGCCCCATAATCGGTGCTTCTCCCTCTTTACCTATCACCTGTCTTAGGCAGAGCAATACAGAACTTAACCCAGAATTCTTAAATCATCTATGAGTTTCTATCAGAACTTAAATATCATGATTGAAAGATCTCACTAGTTTCTCTGCCAATACACAATGTGATCTTGACTTCAGAGCTGCTCATCTGAACACAGATGAAGAGGAAATTCTACTGGATGTGGTACAATGACATGAGTTTTGTACTACTGGGTTCCCTTTGACCATGTACCAATAGTAAATCCACCCTCTATTCCCAATGCACAAAGCTGAGAAAAACGGTCAGGTCCTGAAAAGTCCTAGTTATAGATATGCGCTTACTAAGATATCTTAGGCCGCACAGCGTCACTGACAGCTTCTCAGTCAGCAAGCACTCAGAGCACCCTCTAAAGGCAAGGCATGGTGCTAGGAACTGCTGGAGATATAGGCACTCTGTAAAACCACACAATGATTATTTTCTGTAACTAGCACCTTCCATTTATTAAGCTCTTACCAAGTGCAGGAACAGTGCTAAAGCATTTTATACATCATCTGTTCTAGTTTTCAGTGGATTCAGGGGAGAAGGGAAAATCTGTCTCCAGGTAGATTTAATTTTGCCCTATTACCAGCCAATCCATAATACTATAAAGTTTTCATATTTAACTTTCAAAGACCTGGTTAGTCTAGTATAATCCACTAGATTAGTTCCTTGAAAACTAAGTCTATCTCGCCCATCCTTCTACTCCTAAAATAGAACATGGTGCCTGGCACATTGTAACTGATTAAGTAATATTACAAATATTTGTTGAATGGACAGATCAATACATGAAGGAATAAATGTCACTCACAAAATCACATGGAAATCAGACCAATGAGGCTCCTTAGATGCCACCAATCTGTGACAGTTCCTCAGTGTTGCGTCTTGCGTGACACTTGTGAAGGGTACTGGTCAGACGCTCTGTGGTGTGCTCCTCACAATCAGTTTGTCTCATGATTAGACTGAAGTTATAGTTTTGGAAAAGAATGCCGCAGAGGTAATAATGTGCTCTACTTGCATGCAATCATGTGCATGTATTGGGGAGTACCTGATACCAACATGACTTACTCTTACCTTAATCACTTGGCTAAGACAATATCTTTCAGGCTTCTCCACTGCACAGCTACTACTTTACCTTTTTTATATCCCTATTAGAAGTGAGTCAGTAACTTCAGCACATACTTAAAGGGAAGAGACTTGAACTCTCTTTTCCTTTTAAGGTCTGCTCTTCAAAATAGCATTTAAACTTATTTAAATCATTTAAATAAACTTGGGGGAGGGTAATTTTTAATTCAAGAAATGATATTCCATTACCAGAAGTGATTATATGAAAATCCCAACTTGATATATAACATGTCACTCAACAACAAAACATTTTCATAATGCTAGTATCCCAAAAATCATCTAATTATGACTCTTCCATTGCCCCTGCCCCAAAAAAACCTAGATAAGAGTCAAATCACGAATCACCCTCACAAGTATTCAAAGGCAAATGTCCAAGTTGTAGAAAACTAAAAGTAACTTCATTCAGTGTCATATGTCTGCAACTTACTTTAAAAATGGCGAAAAATGGGTGTGATATATGTGTGTACGAGATGCGTAGGGTACATGACATTCATTGTACTATTCTTTCAACTTTTCTGTAGGTTTTAAATAAAAACACCACCACAGCCCTGGTCGGTGTGGCTCAATTGGTTGGGGTGTCGGCCTGTGCACTGAAGGTGTGTGCGTTCTTTTCCCAGTAAGGGCGCATACCTAGGTTGCAGGTTTGATCCCTGGTCGGGTGAGTGCAGGAGACCAATTGATGTTTCTCTCTCTCCCTTCCTCTCTCTTGAATCAATGGGAACATGTCCTCGGGGGAAAATTTAAAAAAGAAAACCACCACATTGGCCTGAACCAACATATAAAGTCAGTGGTCCACATACGATACTAAAAACACATCGTGGCTCAGTTCTTCTCAGGGTTCTATCCACAAATGAACTCCTTTAGCTTTTCCTTGTCTGGGAAGCTTTGCTGGGTAGAGTAGTCTTGGTTGCAGGTCCCTGATTTTCATCACTTTGAGTGTGCTATGCCACTCCCTTCTGGCCTAAGGTGTTTCTGTTGAGAAATCAACGGACAGTTTTATGGGGTCTCCCTTGTAGGTAACTAAGTGTCTTTCTCTTGCTGCTCTTTTTTTTTTTTTAATTGATTTGAGAGAGAAGGAGAGGGAGATAGATAGAAACATCAATGATGAAATAGAGAGTCACTGATCGGCTGCCTCCTGCATGCCCTCCACTGGGGATCGACCCCAAAACCCACGCATGTTCCCTGACCAAGAATCAAACGGTGATCTCCTGGATCCTAGGTAGATGATCAACCATGGAGCCATGCCAGCCAAGCTCTCTTGCTACTCTTAAGATTCTCTTTGTCTTTAACCTTTGCCATTTTGATTATGATGTGTCTTAGTGGGGGCCTCTTTGGGTTCATCTTGTTTTGGACTGTCTGCATTTCCTGGACTTGTGTGTCTTTTTCCTTCACCAGGTTAGAAAAGTTTTCAGTCATTATTTCTTTAAAGAAGTTCTCGAGCCTTTGCTTTCTCTCTTCTCCTTCTAGTACCCTTATAATGCAAATGTTGCTATGCTTGATGTTCTCCCAAAGGTCCTCAGACTTTCCTCATTTAACAAAATTCTTTTTTTCCTTTTGTTGCTCTGCTTGGGAGTTTTCTGTTATCTTGTCCTCTAAATTGCTGATTCGATCCTCTGCTTCATCTAATCTGCGGATTCCTTCCAGTGTATTCTTCACTTCTAACTGATTATTTTTTATGGTTTCTATGTCTTTTT